TGGTAATGGGCGTAGAGGGTTGTACTGATCCCTTCCCCTTTGAAAAGGGGTTCAGTAAAATCTCGAAGACGAGTAAGCGCCAACAGTACCTCTGACGGGCGAGACGAGCTCCGAAAAGGCAGTGGTCTCGATATCGCCCAGCCAGAGACCTACACCGGAATCCTTTTGATAGCCTCAGCCTTTCTCATTCGTCAGTGGGATTATCAAAATGCACCCTGAGAAGTTTGAAACACCCTCTCCATCAGTGTGTCCAAAAAATATTGGCCCATATCCCAGATGTCCTCTAATGGAAGTCTAAAGTGATCAAAGTCGAATACCTGATTGATTTGTGTCCTCACTCCAAGGCCTTTTTGAGCATTCAGAGCACGTGTGAGTCGAAGGCATCTGGAAGCTTTACTTTTCGGCTTCTCCTCCCTTGAATTCTTTTTTCCGCCACGACCGCCCTCTTTCGAGTTCCTGTCGCCGCGGCGACTCTCCATTGACCCGGCCTGACGGCGATCCCTCCTACAGGAAAAGTCATTTAGAGATGCCTCAAATCGTTACTCCTACATACTACCCTACATTTCAGATATTTCACTATTAATTTGTTATCAAAGTAATTCGTCAAAGAAGAACAGATACGGCAAAAAATAGAAAGTGCAGGTAGCAGCAATCTAAGAGGCTATACATGTAGCTCTTTGACGAAAAAGTCAAAAAAATGATTAGAATGACAGGGACATCCCTACGATTGAATAAAAGTATTGACACACCTGGGTGAGTCCACATTTCGCTTTTCTTTCCATAAAAATTGCATTATCCCTCAAAGCAACAATTCCAAATAGAAATGGGTAAAAACGGTCGGCAATGAAGTTGTAGATGACGAGTTGACTGCTAATAGGAGGGGTTTCCCCTCTTCCCCTTTGGAATAAGGGGAGATGCGGTCGGACGAGTTGTCTGAATTGGTTTGCACTTCTTGCTGGTTTCGTGCCAGCAAGAAATTCCACCGGGCCCAGTTGCCCCGCCTACTTCGAGAGCGTTCGACTCCCTTCTAGCAACTTTCCAAGGTGAGTTTTTAGTTCACTGACACTTCTTATGTACTTGACTAGGGCTAGTGCATCTTTCCACCCATTAGAATCGAATGGTCAAAACCCTGCTGGGACTGTTGCTTCAAGATAGCCTCAAAACCATCGGATAAGAATCCGTTTTCCTCCCTAATGCATATCTCTCAACGTACAAGAGCTTCCCAGATTTTTGCAGATTATTTTGATTTTTGGAGGCCATGTTCATCATTTATCTTCCGATTAGTGCCACTTCTGAAATAAACCAATTGAATT